AAAAAAAAAAAAAAAGAAAAGAAAAAATTTAAGTCTGTTACAATGACAAAAAATGCATTATTAAGTGCCTAGATTTTATCCATTGAGATCACTAATTTTTTATTTAAATATTAACTACATAATAAAAATCAAAAAACTAAAACTGTGCTAAAAAATATATAAAGAAAAAACAAGTGTTCCATCATATCCGGTAGTGCAGTGACAAGTGACTACTTTTAACCATTTATGCTTATTTTTAGTGGTTACACTCAATCATAACACTCAATTTTATAACTTAATTTTTTTCCCCCAGTTTCCACCTACCTTTTTGCAAAACGTACTAGTGGATTTCAACTTTTTCCAGTTTTTATACTTTTTTCTTTGTCCACTTTTGGTCTTGGCAACATGTTTACCTCTAAGAACTCTTTCCTATTTCTACTCCTTTCACATACCAATTGTAAACAAAAATATCACCCCTCTTTTTTTATCCTTCCCTAACAGCACAAGAAAACTGACGGTCCCTAGATAAGGAACAGCAAGCTTTGCTTTTTATAATAAACTGTACTGCACTTTTTATAATAAACTTCTATAATAAAAAGAAAACAAAAAAAAATACTTTGCTAATTGGCTATCGGAGTTTAATTATGGTCAAGGATAGGACACAGGTTGAAGAAAATAATCAAAAAGCAGCAAAGCCTAACAGATGAGCAGTACTCCTGCTTATGTGGGCTTCTGTAACTTACTTTTGTTGCCTTCAAATGGAAATATGCTGTTTTAAGCATAAGAAGGAAGTAAACTCAGTAAGGAGATATGAATAGAATTAAACAAATAAATCTACACTATGCTTCGTTTTAAACATTTAAAATCTTATTTACACAAAGATCATTTAGGTATATAAATACACTATAACTCACTTAAACACTAAAATAGAAGTAAGAATAGCCTGGCACTGGTCACAAAACAGGAGAGACCAGAAAGAGATCTAGGCATCAATATATTTTAATATATTACTACAGGTGACATTTTAATCCAGTAGGAAGTTTATTTCTCAATAAGTGATGGTACAACTGGCTAGGCATGTGGGGGAAAAATGATTCCCTACTACAAATCTCACATCAAATAAATTCAGATACAATAACACTTTTTTTTTAAGTCTATAAAAGTACTAGAAGAAACTATAGTAGGCTGGGCGTGGTGGCTCACGCCTGTAATCCCAACACTTTGGGAGACCAAGGCGGGTGCATCAGCTTAGATCAAGAGTTCAAGACCAGCCTGACCAACATGGTGAAACCCTGTCTCTACTAAAAATACAAAATTAGCTGGGTGTGATGGTGTATGCCTGTAATCCCAGCTACTTGGGAGGCTGAGGCAGGAGAATCACTTGAACTCACTAGGCATAAGTTGCAGTAAGCCAAGA